ATTCCATAAATCATTTGCTAGTAGAATTGGCGCATTTTACTTCTAGAATTATATTCTTTTAAATCAAACTGGTTTTGTGAAAGGTAGGAGTATAAGTGATAATGTCCTCCTTGCCAGGACTTAAACTCATGATATTAACACTAGGAGTTTCCTGGTGGTAAATATTATTTTAAGCTTGATATTGTCTAAAAGCTTATGATAATTTGGATTGGATTTTCTTTATAAAGTGTTAGCTTTTGTTTGGCCTTTAAGGAAGATTTTATTCTATTGATTAAAAAATTAGTAATATAAAAACTGCATTCTTTTCTGTGAATAATATAATGGTAGAAGTCATGGGGAATTTGTAAGGTCTTATAAAGTCTTCGGCTAAGGGGAATGCTTTGTTCTGCCTTCTCTTTTTATAATAGCTATGGAATATCTTTCTGAGGGGTTTAGAAGATTTTGTATGCTAAGAATGTTTTCGCTTGAATTTAGAACGATAAGAGGTTTTCCTATATCGCATCTGAGTTTGTGCTGATGATTTTATTTTTGTTTGCTTAATGGTTCGTATGCAAGAATGTGAGATTTTATATGAAAATTTTTCTTTCGTAGATTTAGTTGTTTAGTGTGGTCTGTCTTTAGCAAAGACAAATGCAACTTCATTGTGGGCAAGTCGATCAATCACAGAAGAATTCAAGCTATTCAAAGAGTTAGTGGTTTTATTCCTAAAGGGTTACCTATAAAATATTTGGGTACGCCAATTTATAAAGGTAAAAAGAAAAATTTTCTTTTTGATGCATTTTTTTTAACTATTATTCACCAAAAAGTTATCTAATTGGGTCTATTTCGCGTTTTCTTTCTTATGGTGGTGCGTTTAGTTCTTATTAAAGCTGTGGTCTTACTCTTAATTCCTTTTATTGTTTCATACTTTATTGGCGCTCTGTTTCGATTTGTTATAGGGAATGGAAAAAATAATATTAACAAATTTTTTTTGGGAGAGGCAAGGGAAATACTAACGTTAATTCATTGTCCTCTTGGCTAAAATGTGCGGGAAGTTAGAGGAAGGGGGTTTGGGGGTGTAAAAATTTTATGATTTATGGCTGCTGGCTTTTTTTCTCCATAAGTTGTGGTTTTTTTTTAGATCCAATTGTAGTTTTGGGCTCGTTATATGAATGTTAAATTTGTAACAATATCACTCATGTTTCGTTGTCATTTAAAAAAATTCTGATTTCTCTACGTTGGAAAATGCTGTGTAATATTAAATTGGGAAGCGAGAAGTTAGTTGCATTGGGGGTTGGGGAAGGGGGAATATTTATTTTTGGCAGGACAAATGGAATTGGGTGGTTCTTTTCTATTGATGCTTATTTAAATTCTGCATACGATGGAAAGAATCAAGTGTCTTATTTTTTTATAAAGAATAATGAGTGGGGGATGTGGAGAAATTGAAATGCTATTTTGCTAATTGCTTAGTTTAATTGCATAACAGATTTGCTCCTTAATATTAATGGTAAAGATTGTATTCTTTTTTCTGGTTCTTCTGATGGTAATTTAAATTAAAAGCTGTTTGGGAGAAATGTTATGGATTCCGGGGGAATTTCACAAGATTTTTGACAGGTTATTTTGGCATAGTTCTTTTCCTATTACTTATTCGACTTTTGTTTGGCGTTGTATTAAAGGTTTTTTGCCGATTGATAACTTGTTACAAAGAAAGGCATTTCTCTTGTTTCCAAATGCTTTTGTTGTTCTCTTCTGAAGTTGGAGCATTTGTTTTGTTTAGACGGTCTTGTGGCTCAACAGTTTGGTGTTTTTTTAGTAGTTTTGGTGGGTTTCATATTTCTACTTCTCATTTAAATTTGGTTTCTCTGTTGAAAGTTGGTTTATACATGGGAAAGGGCATTTCTTTGAATCGTTACCTATGCTGATATTATGGGTTTTATATGGATGCCTAGAAATAAGGCTTAAAACATGAATAATATTAAGAATGGAGGCTTTTTGTATTATCAGTAAATGTGAAAAGGAAGGTTATTCAACTTTTTGATTATAAAATTATTTCTATTAAGACATTTTCTAGGTGTAAGAGTGTAGCGGTTAGTTTTGGCTTGGTCATTAATTCTGGCTAACGGGATATTTAATGCCGACTCTTGTTAGTTTTATGGATTAACCCAACCACTGTAGTTAATTAAATACGGATGGTCTGTGGGGGTTAATAAAGCCGGGTGTGGAGGGATTATTAGAAAAAATTTTGAGGGTGTTGTGTGGCTGCTTTTGCTGCTCCGGTGGTTGAGAGGGATGTTGTGTTGATTGAGTTGAAGGCTATTTTGTTTGGGTTGGAGAATTATGTTTTGAAGCATGGCGTTTGTGTGGTTTCGGAGATTGAAGTTGATTCTGTAAATCTGGTTCATTTGGTTGAAGCTGTGAGGTCTTTCAGGTAAATGCTTATGTGAATTTTTATTACTTTGAGAAAAGGGTTAAAAATTTGATGCAAATTGCTTAATTGTTATATCTCTCATATTTTTAGAGGAAGGGAATGGTTTGCGCTGTATATTTTTTTAGCGAAAAGTTGGGTCTTCTCTGTTGGTAGGTATGAGGAGTGGATATTCATAATCCTGTAAAATGGTTTGCTATTAATGGACAAGGTCTCTTTGGCCTCGTCTTAGACCGTGGGTGAGTTCCGTTTGGTTCCTGGGTTGTGTTGCTCGGTTTTTGTCTGTGGCTGAATCTTTCTGGTGAGGAGTTTTGTTTTTGCTCCTTGTTAGGCTGGGGTGGTCTTTGGTTGTTTTTTTGCTGGGGGTAGGGGTTGGGCTTTGATTGTTGCTGGTTATTTCATGGGGATTCTCCTTTTTTTTCAAGAAGGGTGGCTGATCTAGAGAGTTTGTTTGGTTGGTGATTTCTTCGGTGGCTTCAGTTGTCCTTGGGCCGAATTCTGGATGTTTTTTGTGGGTGGTTGCAGGTTTTTGGAGATTGTGTGTGGTTGGCTTTTTGTGGGATTTGCTTGTGCTTGTTTTTTTATGAATTTTCTTGAGTTTTCTTTGCAGAATTTTTTGCAGGAGAGGGAGCTGAACGTTGTCATTAGCAAGTGGCGTCTCATTTTTTTGGTGCTATTTCTTAATAGCCCGTATTATTTTTGTAATTGTAGATTAAGGATCCGCTGGCTCGTAGGAATTTTTATTTCTTTTTGGAATGTAGCTCGTTTGAGCAGTAGAGAGCTGGTGAAGCCTTTTAAGGATTTTGTAACCGGTTTTTTAATGAACGCGTAGGCCCCTATAGAGGGTTTTAACCAAAAAAAAAATGTAAAGATTGTTCATATAATGTAAAGGATGCCGAATGAAATCTAATATTAATATATGAATGTAATCAGAGGGGAAACCAGTTTTACTTTTGAGGGCAAATAAATTTATTACATGAATAATTAAATATAAAAAAATAAAAAATATGTAAGATAAAATTTGAAGCAAATTAAGTCTTGTATTTCATTATGATTGATGAATTAAAAAATAATTAAATGCTTTACATTCTATTTTGTATTTTCTGATAATATTGCATTGTATTTTTATTGGGAATGAAGTCAAATGCTTATATACAATATCATACGATTATTAAACCAGTCATCACCCATTTTACTATGTAATCGATTCTTAACAATCTTCAATGTAGAATTGCTCTATCAACTATAGCAATGACAATTGATAAAATAGATATCAAGACAATAAGCTTGTAAACTAGGAGATCTACAGTATCCTTTTTAACCTTAATGATTTATTTTGCAAGATCAGTAATGCTACTCAAAGATGAGAAGTTATTACTTATATGCATATCAATAATATATGTGACTAGTTGGTGTTCAAGAGCTACAAGCTCAACTGTAAAAAAATTGGCTGAATATAATCTACAAGACGATTATGTTTCTCCTTAACAAAAGAAAAGAAAATATCACTTGGGTTCATACATGTCATATAAAGAAGCAAATCAATGTTGGCTTTAGAGAATCGATTATTAGTTCTTGAAATTGCATATAAAAAAAGTACTAGTACTTTGAGATATCAGGACTCGAGAGAAGTATATGATTAATGCATTATAATAAAAAAAAACTCAGAATAATGCTTTGTGAGGTTCCAATTTAGAGAACGTCCAATGTAAGGAGGTAGAGGAACGTCCGATCGGAGGCAAAATCTCGCCCAAAAATTAGGTATTTGCTCGGTATTACTAGGTATTATTTGATAATAATGAGGAAGACCGCTCCGTGAAGATCAATACCGAGTTATACCGAGCTATACCGAGCAATACCGAGTTGTACCGAGTTTTTTCTAGGAAAAACTCGGTACAACTTTTGTATAACTCGTTATTGCTCGGTATAATTCGGTATTGGATCTTCACGTGATGGTATTCCTCGTTATTGTTTGGTATTGCTCGATATTTGCTCGGTATTTCTCGTTTTTTGGCGCGATTTGGCCTCCCACCGTCCGGTCGGAGGACATAATAATTGTTCATACTTTAGAGAAGCATAGGCGCGACACCATAACAAGGAGTTATTTGTATTTCAAGGATGTCCTCCTAATAAGCAATAGAAGACATATGGTTAATAATTAACTCATTGCAACCTCAACAACCCTGGAGTAATTCATCGATAATAGCTATCTAATAGGATATTCAAGGATTAAACAAAATTTTCACTAAATATCAAAAGTAAAGTTTTTATAAAAAAGTTTTAAGCCTTCGAATTTTCCAAGAGGATAACATGGATTGATTCCAGCTCTTTGAGAAATGCAAAATAATAAGGCTTTGTAGAAACCATTCAGCAAAATAATGAAAGTTTTTATTAAGTGCAGCAAGAAAAAACATAATTTATTCAAAGAGGGGACAATTCGCATAACACACATATTTAAAAAAAGTCAAAGGATTTGACCAACTGGTTGATCAGTTAAGACATATCAAATGACTAATTAACATGACACACACAAAAAAAGAAAGTTTACTTAAACTTAAGCACACATAAATAACTTATATAATTAACGATGAACAACTTAAGGAGAAGTAGGTGCATATGCAACGGGACTTGGGGCGGGACTTGGGGTTGTATGGCCAAGGAGGAAATTATTAATCTCGTATCTCAGCACACAACTGGTATTGATCACATAGCAACCTAACCGGCTTTTGCAGGGCCCAAATATAGTCTCTGATGCCTTCTCTAAGCATTGGTTGCATGCTGATTCTTGAAGGTCACGTGTGCATTGTGCCATTCCATAGATAGTCATGTTGCTCTTCAAAATATTTCTCTCACCTCGTCCAAATTTGTCATCCCTTGTTGCAGCCGCCACTTTCACCTCTCCCATTAGCCCCTCCACTACTTGATTGAAGTTTGTAGGATCCGTTGTTACACGCGATGAATACCATCTGTTGGTATAGCTCGTATCAGATTGTCCGAGGAAGTTATTGGAATCGTAGTGAATAAAGCAATATTCATACCAAATTCGTGCTTCAGCTGAAAAAGGACATATTGTTCGGATCTTATTTGTCGCTTCTAATATGCAAGCGGAGCATGCTAAGCGGCTAATATCCCCTCGACATCGAGTGAGACCGTAGATAGTGTCCTGGCCTATGCCATAGGATGAGGTGGCGAAGCCGTAGTAAGTGGTCGCTGCTATGAGGCCGAAAAAAGCATGGTTGATGTTGTCTTGCAGCAAGTTGTTGGTGCCAACGGTAATATTCTTGCTGCATTCCTGAAAGATGGAATCGGCGCTGCATCTTGCAATTATTGGGAGGAGGAGAACAAATATGAAGAGCTTGCATGAGAACTCCATTGCTGTTTTAATTTTCCTCCCAATGATTAAATTTGAGCGCTCGCATTCCTCTTTTATAGCAGTAAGAGATTATTTTTTTAATCAAACACTGCGAGAGAAATAGCCTACAAAGCCGGCGTTCTTCAACTTTGAAAGCCACTGATTTGTATTAATAATATATACTACCAGCAGGTAATACAAAACCATTTACCTCTCCAAGACCGGGCAAAAGCAAAACAACCAGTGTTTTATGTTTGTTAGATTTCTATGAATGAATATTTATCTCTTCATTGAAATAGTAAGATTGAATGACTTCTTCAAATTTTTATGGATTAACGATTTTTATGAATGCAAGAATAATAATTTGATCTGAATTTTTTTTTTTTCTTAAATAAGATCAGTTTCCTATGTATATTTGAACTTTGCAAAAAAAAAAAAAAGATTTTTTTTGTAATATTTAATTATGGAGATAATTGGTGATGGAAAATTATCAAGAAGACTTGCAAGTTGCAAATACTTGTTGCCATTTGTAGTAAGCTTAAGCTTTTATTGTTTTCAGTAATTGTTAGTATTTTTCTCTATCTATATTTTATGTGATAAAGATCTAAATATTTATAAGAGTGGAGTAACTATCACAGAAAAATTTATAAAAAGGTGCATAGAAATAGGAGGAATAGGTCATGAAATTGGCCTCCATAACAAAGCTAGATTAATGAAAAATATCCTTATCTTTTAAAAACAGGATCTTTCAGAGCCGGCTGTTGTGGTTGTTTTTGTCGTCGCTATTGCACTTGATGCGCCAGATATATATTTTCTTCTCTTTGTCTTACTCGTGCTTTTCATCATGAAATCACTACAGCGAGATCTAATCTCCTATGGAAATAGAAATTCATTCACTTGGAAGAGCCAAGTCTTTCCAATAATGGAATGCTTGATCTAGCACGAAGATACTTCATGCACCGGTGAACGGTGGAGGGAATCATCTCATGCTCTCAAAATCCCTACAAGAAGCTTCTTCATCTATAGCATGAATCTTGATTAGCTTTTATTAGGGGTGTAAATAAATGGCATGATCCAAAAATCCGACACAGAAAATTTAGGCTTGGGTCAACCTGATAAAGAAACGGGTCGACTCGATTCTATTTTTGGACAATTTATAATTCTTGTTGGGTTCATTCAACCTGAATTAACCCATGCCTACTCCTCTGTCCGGTTGTCCTGCTGCTCCTGCATCAACCTAAATTTGCGGGTCTGGTCGGGTCTATCTGGTAACCCAGTGGGTCGGGTCCGGATTTGAATTTCCAACCCAATTACAAAACCGGGTCGGATTCGGATCAGCTGAATCGGATCTTTTGGTTGGAGATTGATTGTCTGTAAAGGATGGCGGGTGTGGCCTTCTTTTGCTTAGTTTTTTTTTATGGACTAATCATTACGAATAATATAGTTACTACTGACAATTACATGAAAAATGTTCTGAAAATAAATTTGTATCTTACTTTTCTATAAATATTTAAATTTTGAAAAATTAAACGTTATATTAATGAAAATCTTGTGTCTTATATAAGCACATATATGCAGAATTGCAGATGTAGAAATGGCATTTGCTATCTTTCATATTACAATTAGTTGATCAAAGGATATTGCTTTTTTTTTAGAAAAGAACAAAAGATATAAATTGCACGAAAATTTTGTTTGGGACAATTTTCTTACTTCTTTTCAAAGTAACTATTTAGTACAAAAATTTATAATTCTAAAAAATTTTGTACTAAAATATTGATTTAGAAAACATAAAGAAAATTATCTCAAATGAAGTCTAAGACTAATTTGAAATATCTTTTTATAAAAGTAACTTTTTTGTGAAAAAAATTTTGAACTAAAAAATCTTTTTTAAAGGCATAAGAAACCATTAAAAAAATACAACAATTTAAGAGTAACGGTCATTCTTCGACTTTTGGGATGGCTGCCGGAGAGAGAAAATAAAAAAGAGATTATATATAGAGGGGGCGTGAAGTTGAATTTTATGGGTAGTTATTTTAATCAAGGAGCTGTTTGGTTTGCTGCATTATTATGATAGTAATATATTTCAAATGGAAGAATTTTGAAAGTGCTGATGTTTGATTTGAAGTAAAAGGAAAGTAGAATAAAATTTTGAAGTAAAATGAATCCATCCTCTAGCTCAAATCTAGTGTATTTGGAATTCCTCATATTTGAGTGGTTTCCAAATATACCAGAAACTCATCGCCATTGCCATTTCCGCTGCCACCAGCAATTGCCCTCGCCAGCCAGTGCTCACCACCATTGGAGTTTTAAAATATAATTTATTATTGTTGGACTTTCACCCGACCATGATTCTTTCGACCTTTGTCTCATGAATATGATCATTCCTATAACAGCCCAAACTCAATCTTAACTATAGAGATATTGTATGTTTTGACCTAAGAGCCTTACAGTTTTGTCATTTTGGTTTAACTTTCCACTAGTTCACCCATCCCAAAATTACTCTAGGATGAGCACGCTTAACTGCAAAGTTTCTTAATAAAATTTAAACCATTACACCAAAATGCACCTCGATGTTTAAGAGTTTAACTTCTTTTACTTAAGGAGTTTTATATTTCTAACCTCTGTACGTCATCCACTGACTACGATCCTTCCGACCTATATCGCCCGTCAACAAAGGTCTTTCCGACCTCCATCACCTGCCGAGTATGGTCCTTCTGTCCTCCTTCACTGACTACAGTCCTTCCAACATTTGTTGCCAGAAAAAAGACTTTTCGACCTCCGTCGGCCGCCTACAACGGTATTTTCAACCTCCGTCGCCTGCCAACTATGGTTCTTCTGACCTCCTTCACTGACTACAGTCCTTCCGACCTCCGTCGCCAAACAATGCTCTTTCCAACATCCATCGTCTGCTAACTACGGACCTTCCGACTTCCTTCACCGACTACAATCCTTTCGACCTCCATTGCCAGACAATGGTCTTTTTGACCTCCATCGCCAGACAACGGTCCTTCCGATCTCCATCTCCAGACGACTACGATCCTTTCGACCTACTTCACCGACTATGATCCTTCCGACCTCCATTGCCAGACAACGACATTTCCGACCTTCGTCACCTGTCGACTTCGATTCTTCCGACTTCGTTCACCAACTACGAACCTTCCGACCTTAGTCTCCAGAAAACAACCTTTCCGACCTCTATATCCTGCCGACAACAGTCTTTCCAACCTCTGTTGCTCGCCGACTACGGTCCTTCTGACCTCCTTCGCTGACTACGAACCTTCCACCTTATGTTGCCAAATAATGGCCTTTTCGACCTTCGTTGTCAAACAATGGTCTTTCCAAACTCCGTTGCCCACCGATTATTGTCCTTCAGACCAAACGAACACATCAACAATGATTCATCATATTCCCACCATGTAATGCAATCCATATGATGTATATTTGTTACATCAAGCCAGTGCCTTCCCCTCAAAGAAGGGTTTCATTTGTAATCAACTACAGATGATAGTGGATCATTTCAAACTGAGTCGGACCGCATGAATTTTGTTCCTTTTCGGGATTTTCCACGTAAAAACTCTGTGGTCTCTTATGAATGTTACACCCTATATTTTATCTGATTGTGTGATAGATCTTCATACAAAGTTAAGACGTTAAACTATATATATGTCTCTATCGCCGCAAATATTCCAGGACAACAATTTTTATGTTATAAAGGATCAAAATATTTAAAAATAATTATTTTAATTATAGGTGAAAAGTAACTGCCACATAAAATTTTAATTTTTCTAATAAAAATTAGTTTGAAGAAAAAGTAAGAAAGTCATCCCAAAAGAAACCGTAATTGCAGATATTTTTTTCTATTTTTATATAACAATGGGTCAAAATATTTAAAAATAATTATTTTAATTATAGGAGAAAAGTAACTACCAGAGAAAATTTTGACCAGTTCATACAAAGGATTATTATATGTTTAGCAAAAATGTTTAAATATTTTTTGTATAAATTTCTTCTGAAACTATATACAAAATGCCAAATTTTAAGGAGTGTAGAAATAGGAGGAATTGATCTTTTTTTTTTCCTGTTTGTTTTTAATTGTCATTAGCCTTTTGGGCTGGCTGTTGTGGGGGAGCAAGAGACTGTGAATTAGAATTTTATGGCTACTAATTTTGATTAAATAGAAACTAAATTTTACAATATAATTTAAAGTTTAGGATTATAAGCATATCAAATATTATTCTATTTTATAAAGAATAAGCAATTTATAATTCTTATCATTTTTTTTTCAATTTAGTAAATAAAAAGTACAGACTAAGCTAATTATGATTATCCTTCTGAGTTAAACTCATAAAATATAATATTTGTCTAAAAGGATTAAGCGCAAAATATTAATACCTAAATATAATTTCAACTAACATAATCTAATAATAATAGTAAAATAAGAAAATGTATTAATCCTAAAATATTTTATATTCCCAAAATATTTTATATATTAAAAAAAAATGTATTAATCAATTCTTTTTATCAAATAGCTAGAAATATATACTTATAGATTTTAGGTTTTAAGAGGAGGAAAGGGCACTAAAGAAGAAGAAAAGGTAAGGATTGAGTGGAGGAAGAAATAATACTCATTAATTTTATTTTATTTTATTTTAGTGATGGGCTGAAATAAAATAAATGCATACCTACAACACAGATCAGAGCCTAATATCAGAAACTATTCAGCTCGCTTGTTACCCCCTTAAAATAAATGCAAATTAGGAATAAAAAAATTAAAAAAATTAAAAAAAAAAAAACTAAAATAGGAATCAATAACTTAACCTAAAAGAACTTTAAAATGCTGAAATGATAAACTGAAATACTATACATAAAGCTAAAATAGAAGCAAACACTGATACTAAATTGAAATCGACATTTAAATAAACTACTAAAATTGTATTGAAATTGATTGAAATATAACGAACACCTCATAGCAAATATCGGAATGGATTTCATGCCCAACTTCCAATACATAATAACTACTA